CTCTGGGCGGCTCACAATAATAATAAAAAAACATTTAGCCTAGAATCTATTTATCCTGAAAACAGATTTGGGATTGTGCATGTTCTTCTATATTTACAATGTTACATCTGAATTGGAGATACTGAATGGAACCTAAATAGGCTAACACAGTAGGAGGAAGGATTCTGCTTCCAAACTACTTGCAGGCTGTAGGCAACTGAAACATAGTGAGAATCAGACAACAGAATTTCCAGCATGGAATATGACTATGCTACTTTCTCTGCATCAGTGCTTCTCAGTCTCAAAAGCTTTAGGATCTGTGGACTTGTGGAGCTGAAGTCCACGGATCTTGAAGTTGCTGAGGTTGAGAAACACTGGCATAGATAAGCCAGTGCTTACATTCAAACATTTTCTACTTTATCTTGATTTTTAAAAATTTTATCCAGAGCTGGAAGAGGAACCTATGTTCATCAGTTTTCTTCCTAACGCTTCTCCTATGTTTTTAAAGGGTCTCCTGTTCCTTTGGAGCAGATGTCCAGGAATTGCAGTAAAAATTAGTGTCAATCCTTGCAAAAAGAGGAAGTATTTCATAAGTGGATCTCTATTTATGGAACACTGGATCAAATGCACTTGGTCAAATAAACTGTGTTTTGACATCTTTGTGATTATCTAAATCATAACATGTAGTTATTTCCCTTTCCTTTAGTATTCATCGCATTTGCTGCTGTTGTAATTGTGACCTCACTGGTACTCATTTTTGTGGTCGTTCCACGGTTTGGACAGACGAATATATTGGTCTACATCTCCATCTGTTCACTGATCGGTGCTTTTTCGGTCTCTTCTGTCAAGGGCCTGGGTATTGCTATCAAAGACATGCTTTATCAGAAGCCAGTCTTCCGAAATCCACTGCTTTATGTTTTAGCAGTAGTTCTGGTGCTGGCTGTTAGTACTCAGATCAACTACCTCAACAAATCACTGGATGTGTTTAATACATCTCTAGTGACTCCCATTTATTACGTGTGCTTCACAACCACCGTGGTGATCTGCTCCGTTATCCTCTTCAAAGAATGGAATAGCATGGAACTTGGTGATATCATTGGGACCTTGAGTGGATTCTTCACCATAATTATTGGCATTTTCTTTCTTCACGCTTTTAAAAATATCAGCATTACCTGGAACCAATTGGCGACTTCTGTTAAAAGAGACCCAGTCTTGCCTTTGCATGGTTATGAGGCTCATCATACTTTATTAGAAAACATGGAAGCTCCAGCTTTGATACGTGAGGAGGATAATACTCTGTTCAGCGGAGGAAATGAACAACAGTATGTCCACCACTAAGTCTTCCCTCACTGCTTAAACAGCCAATCAGAGCAAACATCATCTTCACCATCCCAGGACAGAACTTGGAGGCACAGAACGTCAACATGTCATTTGCTTATGGGTTAGAAAAGGAAATTACATAATGCTGATATTTCTGTATTTCCCATCTTGGACAGCGTGCAGAAGTCACTGATAGCCATAATGCTCTTTGTGTGATGGCTGTTGTTGCTAATGAACTGAATTATATACATCATATATTTTCTAAATAGCATTTTATGGCTTCAGTTTTGAAAACAAGACTTTTGCTGAGGGCTAAGTGAAGATATTTTGGATGTGAAAAAGCAGGACTTTTCTGAAGGTGGGCATATTGGTAAAGTGGAAGTTTTAGTTTATTCTGGTTTTCCAAATAGGAAATATCCATAAACAACCCCTTCTCTTTTAGGTTTAACTTCCAGCAACAGAGTTTAAACTCTAGCAAAGTACATTAATTGAAAACAGGATCTTTCTATGCCTGACAGCACTGAGTTAGATCCAGACTAAGAAACCCTTACAGTAATCTCACTGAAGTCTGGGAGTTAAATTGGTGTACACTAAACATTTCTGGAAAGCCTTTAAGTTTCATTTCCCTCATCGATTGCTTCCACACTGGAAAACAGATCTGGTAAGTTTAGTGGCTGTATAATTATAGTTTTTTCCAGATAAGAATTTGTTTGAAGGATCTGTTAAATTTTTGGAATCATTTTCCTGTCTGCACCCAACAGGGAAGGATGGAAGATAACTGAAATGTGCATTAGTCATCAGCCTTTAACAATCACTCTGTTAGATAATTGGAGCAGAATTTCCTAATGCTTCATGCATGATCTCCAGTAGACTGATTTTAAAGCATTCAAGAATATGCTATCGTAAAGCATTTACATATGTAGATTTTTATAAAATATGTACATATATAGTCATTTTTATGAAAAAGATTCTACTAATATAAGCTCTTAAGCTCTTAATATAAGCTTAGTTTTACTAGAAAAATCTACCATATATGTCTTTTAAATGAGTCAATTGTTCAGGATGATAGATGGGGATTTTAAAACACACACGTATATATTCACAAATGTTAAAGTCTCTTCCCTTTTACATGCAATTTTAAATATACTGTATTTTAATATACTGTTGTGATTTAAAAAAAAAAAATTCCACGAGTACCCTCTTTGCTATTTTGTGAACAGGAAAGGGACTTTAGTCATATGACAATTTTGGAACTAAAATTATCTGTACCCAAAAATTCGGTTTTGAAATAGAATTTGATCTGTAAACGCAGGTTTGGCTGTGTGTAGATTTTTGGCCCTCTCTTCAATATTAACACCTCAATTCTAAAACTGCTTAAGAAAGAAAAAGTAGTGCAGCTTTTTGGATTTGAAGAACACAAATCATATATTTGGACTACAGTAATGGAGTAAGTGTGAGCTTGGATAATACACTCTTTTAGCTCTGATTTTTTTATTTCTTTGGTTTATCAAGATTTGGTATTTGTTCTGTGATAAAAAAAAACACCCTGATCACTTAAGGAAATCCTGATTTTTAATCATTTTAATGGTCACATATTGTGTGGTTCATCTGAGAAGCACGAGCAATGTCTGTGTAGTCTTCAGTGCCATTCAGGGGGAAAATGCTTTTATGCATCTGTATAAAGTATGCCTTATCCATTTCAAAAATATTTAACTTTCTAAATGGAGGATCTTTGAAGCGTTGATGTAATACTGACAAAAATGAATAAAAATTGTTTTGATAAAATGTGTTCCCAACTGACATTGGGCCAGTTTTTATATTTCGTATTATCCTACTAAATCTGGAGAACCCTCCTTTGGAAAAAATTGATACAGGTGACCTAGGCATAAAGATTCATACAGAGCAATGTTTCTCAACCTTGGCAACTTTAAGCTGCGTGGACTTCAACTCCCAGAATTCCCCAGCCA